CTCTGCAGCCGGTACTGCCGGTCCAAGGCCAGGAGCCAGAGCTGCTGCCAGCGGTGCAGGAGCTGCGCCATGGGGGGGCTCTGGGGCTCCAGGTCGATGAGCGGCACCTGGGGAGTGGTGCGGGTGGGTTTCACAGCGCTGCGTCGCCCTGCAACCAGACAAAAGACGGGCCTCAGTGCCCATGGGTTGGGGGGAACCGAGGGGGGGTGAGCGGGGATCCAGGGAGAAGTAGGAGGAGGCAGATGAGGGGGGCAGTGAGGGGGGGATCCAGGGGCGGGGGGGGCAGATTGAGGAGGAGGGGTGTGACGTTGCGCTCCATATGATTTTATGAAATATGCTAATGAGTGGGAATATAATGTAACTGGAATATGCTTCATGCAAAAGGTCTCTTGTAAGGTATCATTACAAAGCTTATAATCTACTGAGTGTGTTCATCCTATTTGTATAAATGTATCATGCTTGTATCTGAAACTAGGAATATGAAATATAACTCTGAGGGCCTATTGTCATTATGCAAAGTGTGGGCCATTAATGGTGCCTTAGAATCTTGATGGCTCCCATTGACTAGGACAATTGGCTGTGAATGGGTTTATTTACCTGCAAACCTTTCGGTGTACTGGGTAATGAAGAATGAAGTCTTACAGTGCCATGTGACCATGTCACCTGATACTGGAATCCATCTTAAACCTGGTGCTTTTCCATTTAGAAGGAGGGGTGAGGACCCAGAGACAAAAGATTTCCGCCTTGTGCCAAAGCCATAAAAGGGGGTGGAACAGAACAAAGGGGGCTGCAGTCATGAGAACACCCCGGCTTTCCACCTGAGCTGGAACTAACACGAACTGTACCGGGGAAAGGATTGGGCCCAGACTAGAAAGGAGTCTAGACTGTGAAAAAAGCTTATTGGAACATCTCTAAGGGTGAGATTTACCTGTAATCAGTTTCTTAATGTATTAGGCTTAGATTTGCGTGTTTTGTTTTATTTTGCTTGGTAACTTACTTTGTTGTGTCTGTTATTGAAATCACTTAAATCCTACTTTTTATACTTAATAAAATCACTTTA